GTGAGTGTGTGTGAGTGTGTGAGTGAGTGTGTGTGTGTGTGTGAGTGTGTGGGTGTGTGTGTGTGAGTGAGTGTGAGTGCGTGTGTGAGTGTGAGTGAGTGAGTGAGTGTGTGTGTGTGTGTGTGTGTGTGTGTGTGTGTGTGTGTGTTGGCAGTCAGCCGACCTTTACTCCTCTAACAGGTGGGAGGGGCTCGCTGTGTTTATTTGAGGGGTATGAAGTCTAAATTTAACCCCCTGTTGCCCCCCACAGTTACACACACACACACACACACACACACACACACACACACACACACACACACACCCACACCCATGGATTTTGCAGACAGATGTGTGTAAAGGGGAATTCTGCAGTTTTTACATCACTAACAGGTTTTGGTCCTTTAGGTGTGTGTGTGTGTGTGTGTGTGTGTGTGTGTGTGTGTGTGTGTGTGTGTGTGTGTAGAGGAGACCTGAGGCAGATTTTATTCCTCTTAATAAATCTGAATAATAAACAAAAGTTTTTGTTCATGTTTGAAAACGTTTCAGGTCCCCTGTTGAGGTTTGCTCTTCAGTCTACGGTCCTCAGGACGTCATAGAGACCAGAACACCCACCTGTTTCTTACCTTAAACTGGGCCAGAATCAGAGTCTCTCCATGTCCTTACAGTGTCCCCAGGGACGCCTTGGAACTACATATGCATCTCTCCATGACTATCCAGGACCCTCAAAGACTATCCAGGGATTCAAAAGACTCGCCAGTTCCACTCTCAAGGACTCTTTAAGACCCTCCAGCACGCTTCAGACCGGGTTCTGGTTGGTCCAGTAGAGTTCCACTCTGAGTTCTGGTCCTTGTCCTTGCGGTAGTTTCCGTTTGCAGCTGACTGGAAGCTTTGGACGTTTCTAAATAAATCACCAACAACTGACACCTGCTGCATGACAACTGTCCACACACACACACACACACACACACACACACACGCTGGGCAGCAGCAGGTTATTTTTAGACCTTCAGAAAGTCTTTTTTTCTGACCTGTATTTTAAATTAAAGGTTTTATTTATCTGTGAGGACGATATTTGTGTTTCTTCATTCTTGGACTGCTCTTTCCTTTTTTTTATTACTTTTATTTGCTTTTCTTAATGAGGATACATCAACACAGTATATAAACGTTGGTGTCAGTTTAGCCTCCTTTTAAATCGTCCATTCTCTTCAGACTTTGTGATGGGTTTTAAAGTCACTCCACTTTTTCCATTTTCCTTGGCATGCAGATTGTTGTAGTCTTAAATTGTGTTCTCCTTATCATGTAGTTTTTCAACAATGTCCAACCAGTTTCTCCAAGTGGGGGGGGGGGGGTCCTCCTTACACCACTTTCTTGTTATAGCTTTCTTTGACGCCACCAGTAGTAATTCAGCCAGGTATCTGTCTTTGCTTATGTATATTTTCCTGTGTTAAATTTCTCAGATACAGCACTTCACAAGTGTTAGGAAGTTCATAACCTAAACTTGCTTTCATTCCTTTCCAC